GGCGGGCCTCAAATGTAGGTTCACCGTCTTCAGCAAGGACGTTGTCTCCCTTCCTCATCACCCACCTGGAGGGGAAGAAATCATCTACAAATTTGTTGGAAATATCGAAAGCCCCCTCATCCTCAACACCCATGCTGCCAGCAGGAGTATGATAATGGCCAGGCCCATGGTCGTAATGAGCCCGACACCAATGATAGGAAACTTGGTGAGCCTCCCGATCTATTCATTCCCATCTTCGTCAAGAAGATCTTCCCCGTCCTCGTCGATGATAGAAACTGGGTCGAACACCATATCCACTGCCCCTTGGGATGAGGGTTACAAGACATACCATTTGTCCTTGAAGTCATAGACGAAGTCCATATACATCCTGAACATTCTGTTGGATTGCTTGAGACAAACCCAATTACGATTTCCTCCCTTAGATTGTCGTTGAAGATGGAAAACCCTGAAGAACAAAGGAATCGTCACCATAATCTTTAGATATCGGCAAGTGATCTCGAAAGCCCGTAAAAAGTGATCGCGTTGGGGTGAAATTGGGAGGGCGCAAAAGACAAATGATTAAAGACACCCATTTGAAAGTCACTAAAGGGCAGATAAAGCCCCAAATCTCTAAAGACAATCTCATACATAGGGAAGCGATCTTCCTGGAAACTCGAGCATATTCTTGCCGTAGGGGTCGGCCAAAAGATCATGAAATTTCGTCTGAAACCTTCTTGGTCGCTGCCATATTCGACGACCGTGTATGCCTCCCCCAGAGTATTACTAAATACCAAGGCTATTCCTCGAGACTCTGGCCCGACCCAGGACAACGACGGATCGGTGAGGGTGTCGACCAAATGGAGACCCTCATTGGCTCTATTCGTTTCCTCTATCTCGACCTGCTCGACTGTCTCGACAGGTTCAACCATTTCACCTATAAAGTAGAGGAAACCAGTGAATTCGATAGCTAAATCAAATCCACCCTTCCACCGTAACACAAGTGAAATGGGGTTGCTACGACCAAACCATGTCGACGAACCCTTGTTCAGCAAAAAGCAAACAAACTCATGAACTCCGTAGGGAGAATATGAATCTCTCGAGCAAATTCATGAATGCCGTGAGGAAAATATGAATCTCTCGAGCAACCTCGTGAAGATGACGAGAGAGAGATGAATTTCGCAAGTAAACCCATGAGTATCGCGAGGAGGGGATAAATCCCCCGAGCCATTTCATGAGTTTTGCAGGGATCAGACGATTTTTACGAGCAAATTCGTGAGTTTCGAGAGGAGAGGTATAAATATCCTGAGGAAAATTCTCCAGAAGTTAAAATTCATTAGGAAATCCATGAATCCTACGGGGAAACCCCTCCGAAAATTTCCACAAAATAAGAAAACAAACAATCATAAAAAAACACTTACTTGGTTGAGGTTGATATGGGTGCTGAGGTGGAAAGAGCGGTGGTGCTCACGACAGAGAGGAAGACAAAGGACAGTGTAGAGCGAAGAGAGAATAAGAACTTGGAACAGTTGCAAATGAGCCATTGGACGCATAATGACCCCTACTCCATAAATCATCATTCTACCCTAAAAGCTACACTATAGGGTCCACTGCGTGATTCACTTGCAAAGATTTGGCTCTCTGCGAGTTGAGGAATATGTCGACTGTCCCCGCCAACATATTCTGACTTTTATCCGAACAACTACCATACATGGACGACTTCATCTCTAGAAGGAATAAAGATCCCTGACAAATATATCCTCGAAGGACCGGCGAGTTGGTCTTAAGTCATAGCTCTTCCCCCTAGGAAAAACGACTTAGGGGGCTCCTGTTCTGGATTGGGCATGCGCTTGGCCCAAACAGCATATAAGGCCCAATCCAACCATTCTGCAAGCGAAGGCCAACAAGAATGAGGCTGCCCTTGACTATGTCGGGTAGCGACTCCACCCTTGCACTGAGGGCACCCTCCTCGGGCCTTCCTCTCCATAGGGCTGTCGAGGAGTGTTAACGGATCCTAGGAGGTCTTGACGGACACCCTCCTCGTAGGGCAGACGTCCACGTCTCCAAATATCCCAGAGTCATCTTGGCCCCAGAAATACCATAACCACATCCTCCTAGTAATTTGGAGCAATCCCCTCAGGAGGGACACCACATGTTGGTTTTCACTACTCACATAGATCCTGACAGTCTTCATTTTGGGCCTGCTCTGTCAGCCCAATATGGGGACTTTGGCCCAACACTAGGGGCTATAAATACTCTCTCACTTGAGAGAGTCAAGTATTCATTTATTCATCCATACTTTCACATTCTACTTGCATCTATTCTGAACCTTATTTTGGCATCAGTGTGTCTTGCAGATACCCCTACTTCACATTCAACTGTTACCCAACTTGAAGCTTGTGGGCCTTGACGATCTCTTTTGATCTGGTACAATCAATTACGTAGATAATTGATAATCAGAAAATTAATATTATACATCGTTATAAACGGGTAGTTCTGGATGTTGCAACATATTGATAATATCGTCGATAGATCTTGCAATCTTTGCATCCATTTCAATTGGATTCTTTGTTTCACATCTACGAAAAGTACTCTACATAATCTCTAAATTTGCATTCGTCTTCCGTTCAAAGTTGGTGAGTTGTATATTCCCGTTGATGTCAGACGAGGGTGAATGATACATGAACTTTATGACACGTTGATTTTCTGGATATCTCAGGAGCATATTTAGTTTGGATATCATGTTGACGCAAGTTATGTCCTCGCAAACCCTAAACTGAATTGCCGGTATTCACCCAATTTAAATGGGCACTCACATTTCCTTGATCTGGTGTCATCATATTTCAACTTCGTAATCGGTGGAACATACATGCCACTTCTCTTGTATCTCATGGTAACAAATGCTTACCTTTGGCTAGAATCATTGTCGGACCTTCCGATTACAATTTCAAACCCCAATTTCCTGGCCACCATGCGGATCCATTCAAGCATATGTTCACCAACAGTAAACGATTATTCATTTGTAAAGTGTTGACCAACATCTATCTCGACATCAACCAGTCTAACATCGTTCTCCACCTTATCCCGCTTAACATCGTCCTTTACCTCATCCGGTTTAACATAGTCCTTCACCTCATGTGGTTTAACATCTTCCATCACTTCATCAGATTTTGCATCATTACTTACAGTAGCTTTGAAAAACATATTTGAGTGCAGCATATTTAATTCGAACCAAAATAGAAAAACGGTAAGACAAATTCGGAGATGCATCTCCTAAATAGGTAGCAGGTGGATTCAGAGATGCATCTTCAGACTCAACGTATATTTTTTCAGCTAAAAAACAAGATTAATGCAAACAATGAGGGATGAAATGAGTGAACTTTACCGTAATTAAAGTTTATTTTGCTCCTCTTGATGTGATAAAGCCTCAAAAAATTGATTGAAAATGAAAGTCTTTTTAAGAGTTTTGGATTTTGGAGGATGAATGAAGTATGAAAGAGATGATCATGCAAGGTGGTGATATATTTAATTTTTTGCTTGACATTTTCAGAGATGCGTCTTCAAAAGTTTCACTGGATGAATAAATAATAATTCTTATTGAAAAATACTGGAAAATTCGAAGATACGTCTTCGAATACACCACAGAAATATTCGTAGATGTATCTCCGAACCAAATTTTGATAAAAATGAACTAACGATACGTTCGGAGATGAATCTTCAAAAATTAATAAAGACATTTTTAAATTTTCAGAGATGCAGTTCACACCAAGTAAGAAATGCCTAAATTTCAACTAATAAAACATAATATATGCTCATATCTAGGTAGGTTCTGTTTAGAAGTTTGATGAAGAGAGTTTTAAAAGAAGAGAAGTAGAGAAATGTATTATTTTCTTTAGAGAATGTTTTTGTGAAAAAAGATAAACATATACTTATATTGTTAATATATACTAGTACTAATGTTAAAAAATATACTCTTTGATCTTTCTCTCCTTTACTTGATTGTCAACATCAAAACTATCAAACACTAATTTAAATCTACTTTTTTATTTTCCCTCTTTCATTTCAAAACTATCAACACTAATTTAAAACTAAACACAGCTTGTCCTCTTTTGAGATTATGGTGTTGGTAAGAGTTGTACTGTTCTATGATTTATCCGTGGTCAGTTTAATCCAAAATGTAAAATTTCAAGATATAAAATGGGCACTAGATATGATTGATATTTCATGTTATTCCATATTTTGTTTACTAGATAATGATTGTTATTTCATATTTTGTTTACTAGATATTATTGTTATTCTGCCTTTACGATATGTTTGAATTGATGAAACATAATAGAGTAGAGCATAATAGAATATGATGGAGCGGAATGAAACAGAAGAATGAAATATATATTTCATTTTATTGTTTGGATATTTTTTTTAAATGTCTCATTCTATCACATACATCTAAAATTGAATGAAATAAAAAAAATGGGGAATCGGATGGAATGAAATGGAATATATTCCATCCATTATTTGCTAATTCAAACAATAAAATCTCATTAATTACCACTCTTCCATACCATACCACTAATCCAAACATACCCGTAGTGTAACACCAATTTTCTCTCTAATTACATTCAGCGTGGAAACATTAGTGTTCATACATCATGGCTGTAAAAAGATTACTTGGGGACTTGCATTTCTTTCTTTAAAGGATATTGTATGCCTAGCTTTATTTATCTACTGCTTTTATTTACTGTTCATTTATGAGAAAGGAACACAGTAGTAAATTAGTAAAACCTATTCATGAAACCACTTATTAAAATAGATCCCACTAATTTATCATCTCTCATAAACGAACAGTAAATAGAGAGAGAGAGAGGATGGATAAATGGAACAAAGTCGGACTCATAAAACCAAGAATACATACAACCTATAAGATGAACCTGAAAAAAATGCAACCCACTGTACACTGGGTCACACATTTCAAACAGATCTAATTACCCTGAATTTGTTGTTGTCATACAAATATTTGTCATTACATGTCGATCAATAAATATGCCATAGCAATACTATACAGCAAAGCTGGGATGTTATATTACATAGTTTATCAGAGAAAACATAAAAATACTCCAGCTTCCAACGAAATAGCCATGGATGAAGATGAACATGTCCAGGACATGCCATACACATCTTTTTCATCATTCACATACCCTTTTCGGTTTTCCCTTTCCTTATCCCTTTTCTAACTTGATTGGCTAGGGCTGCTATGGGAAAACATAACTCGGCCTATCAGTAATAGATTAAAATATTTATTGACAAGAAAAACAGACAATGACTATGCTTTAAATAAATCAAGTACATACATCATAGAAAAGGTAACCAACCACATTATATAGAAAGAGCCTCTGGTAACGACTCTGGAGTACCGCTGCTACCGTTGAGAACAATCACATTACCATCAGAATCAACATCCACTATGACAGAATCACCCTCTTTGATCTCTCTAGCAAGCATCTTCTCAGCCATGCTATCCTCCAAAAGTCGCATGATGGCTCTTCTTAGAGGCCTAGCTCCGTAACTAGGATTATAGCCTTCATCAACCACCCTGTCCCTAAATCTTTCTGTTACTTGAAGTTCAATTTCTTTGACCTTCAGTCTCTGAAACACCTCCTTGAGCATTATGTCTGCTATCTCCTTCACTTCCAATTTTGTGAGTTGTCTGAAAACAATCATTTCATCCAACCTATTCAAAAACTCTGGCCTGAAGTATTGTTTTAGCTCCTCAGTTACCAAGCTCTTGATTCTATTATAACTACTATCTTTCTCATCGTAATCCAAATCAAATCCAATTCGGCGGCCTCCTTTCTCAATCACACTGCTTCCAACATTTGATGTCATTATGAGAAGTGTGTTCTTGAAATCCACAGTTCTGCCCTTGCTGTCTGTTAGTCTTCCATCTTCAAGGATTTGAAGCATCATGTTGAATACATCAGGATGGGCTTTCTCAATCTCATCAAAGAGTACAACAGTGTAAGGACGACGCCGAACTGCTTCAGTCAATTGACCGCCTTCGGTGTAACCAACATATCCTGGAGGTGAACCAATAAGTTTGGAGACGGTGTGCCTTTCCATAAATTCACTCATGTCAAGACGAATCATGGCTTCTTCAGAGCCAAAGTAGTATGCAGCCAATGCTTTGGCCAATTCAGACTTCCCCACACCAGTTGGACCAGAAAAGATGAAGCTGGCAATTGGACGATTAGGGTTCTTCAATCCAACTCGGGCTCGACGGATAGCCCGACAAATGGCTTTCACTGCTTCATCCTGACCAATGATTCGCTTGTGCAAAGTATCTTCCATCTTGAGGAGACGGTCAGATTCATCTGCTGAGACTTTATCAACAGGAATGCCTGTCCAGGAGGACACAATATGTTGAATGTCAACTTCAGTCACAATAGGACCTTCATCTGCGGTCTCAGTCTCTGCTTTGCTCATCTCCTTGCCTTTCTCTACAAGTGCTGAAATCTGCGCCTTGAGATCCATTTCTTTATCACGCAGTTCTCCAGCCTATTCAGAAATTCAAGTGTCATCAAGTCACACCAAAACATTACACATTCGAATAATGAACAAAGCACTGGGGTAACACTAAAGTGTTCTTTGAACTCAATGAACTAGAAGCAGGGATCATTCTAGTCCAACTATAAAATTTCAAGAATTCTTTTTATATTACTCAAGCACAGGTATTATTTTTCATAGACAAAACAAACAACATTTTCTCGTTGGATAAAGGTAGTTGACAATTTTCCTAAAAATGTTGGATGTTAAGAACTTTACAAGTTAAATCTTCAGCAAAAGAAGTTACCTTTTCAAAGTCTTGATTGCGAACAGATTCCTCTTTCTCCTTAACAATCTTCCTTACCTCCTTGTCAAGTTCTTTTGCCTCTTCTGGCAACTGGAATCACATAATAGCCCAATTAGCTAAATAATTGAAGCTAGAACTGCAAGTAAAAGGGTGGACAAACACTATACCTGTGCATGTTGAAGACGGACTCGTGAACCAGCTTCATCAATCAAATCTATAGCTTTGTCAGGCAAAAATCGATCACTGCAGAGAACGAACATTATTATACGCCAGGAATCACTTTGAAAAGATTGGATGAGCATTTTTTAGTAACATAGGTGTTAATCAAACAGCTATATTAGAATTACAACCTCGGGAGTCCCTATATTTATGACATTAGTACAGCATAACATTAATATGGGAAATTCTTGAAATTTAAAGACATGATTCAGCCTAAATACATTAACAAGAAACATATTTTACATAGATGCATGTGTCAAGAGAAATTGACAGTATCTCATTAATAAAATATATTGAAAATCAATTATCACAATTTGCGAAAAGAGATATCTGTAATTGTAATAAAAAAAGTCCAGTTCAATACCTGAAAATATTTGTGATATATTTTCACTGCCCATATCAAACTATATCCTATTGTCACCAAAGAGATATGCTAAACATCTAGGGGTATTGCTACATAGATATTTGAATTTTTTTAAAATAAATAAAAATGTAAAATTATTGTAGATTAGATGGTTAAGCTGCTAGACAAGGCAAAGTCATAGAGATTCACAGAGGAGAGGACAACAACTAAATTCAAGAAGTCAAACATGTACATCACTTTTCAATGGAAAATTTCCGGTTAAACGTGCAACATTGAAATAATATCTATACCAGCATAAATGATATGCAAAATAAATAGAAAAGCGAATAGACAAATCATGACAAACCTGATATACTGGTACGAAAGTTGCGCAGCAGCTACAAGAGCCTCATCAGTATAGCGGAGCTTGTGGTGAATCTCATAACGTTCTCTAAGTCCTTTCAGTATTTGTATGGTTTCATCTACAGTTGGTTCTGGTACTTTAACTGGCTGGAATCGTCTCTCCAAAGCTGGGTCTTTTTCAATGTGCTTCCTGTATTCATCCAATGTTGTGGCTCCAATACACTGCAGTAATTTTTAAGTTAATATTGTTTAGTAGTACAACTTAACAATAAACAGCAGAGTAAACTCCATCAAGCAGATTCATTTACAAGATACTCATGACAGTGAGAATAATGTGAGCACAAGGCACTTCAAAATATGCCTAAATTGACCATTTGGTATTCAATTATTGACCAAATTGAAACAGTAAGAAATGCCGACACTTTAAGTTTTAGATTAAAGTTTCCAATATTAGTTTGATACTTAAGCATATATGCTTTAATTCCGATTATAAGCCAGCAAGTTAGCAACAATTTGTGACCACGCTGAACTATCTGAAGACATATCATATATTCTTTTCGGAAGATGTGGATTTGCTAGAAGTTTTATGACCAGAGAAGGTCCGAACTTTTTCCTATGAAAAATTCAAGAGTTGTGCTAATGTAATCCATCAAAAAACAAATTATTTCATCTGCTTAAATAATGACTTCATAGACATAATCAATAAGCAATAAATCCATTTTAAACACTTTAAAGAAATTACTACCTGTAGTTCACCTCTTGCAAGAGCTGGCTTTAGTATGTTAGCAGCATCAATAGCACCTTCAGCTGCTCCTGCTCCAATTAGAGTGTGCACTTCATCGATAAAAAGTATAATCTCATCACTTTGTTTGATTTCTTCCATCAGTTTCTTCAACCTCTCCTCAAACTCACCACGGTATTTGGTTCCAGCTACAAGCAGACCCATGTCGAGGGTTATGACCTAGTTCATGTGAACAAAGCATATTATAAGAATATGTTGGATATATAAAATCATTCATTATCACACGCCTTCAAATAACAGTTTAACATTTTGGAAAAGTTGATTATATCATGGCATCAAAGCCTCCCTTGCCAACTTGTGTGGATATTGATCCTTGGCAATATCACTTTTCTAAATAATATTTGAATTTCAAATTATGGTAAAAATAAATCAGAGCATTAATGCACTTCGAGCCTAAAGGGTTCTTCAGAAAGGGATGTGGCAACAACAAATTTAGTGGAAAAGTTATCAATGATTAAGTACTTAATCAACATATAAGACTCCTTGAAACAGCATTGAAGGTAATCATTGATGTTCTATTAGCCATAAATTTGAAAATATAATTAAAATAATTTTAAGAGACCGGAATACCCCCTTGCTTGTTCGATGAATAATAGTCTAAAGAGTAAAGAAAAGCATATCGAAACACACTGTTGTATGTCAAAAACAATTGAGCAAAGAAAGTATTCACATTATTCAAAAATCATATTACACTCCCAAAAATCCAGCAAGTAAAAATTATAATACTTATCCAACACAGTGAAATTAGAAATGAAAACCATGTGACTCAAATGAGAAAGCACTTCCTAAATACTATCATCAACCAGGTGTCATAAAAATATTTTCCAACACGTAAAATTCCATAGCGAAAAAACAGGATACTTCATAATTACTTGAACGCATCCGAAAAATGGTACTCAAATAGAATAACAACTCAACTAAATGGTCGGCAATTTAATATTGATAAGGGCTAGATGTTTTCTTTCTTTTAACCTTTTTTCCTTCGATTGTTTCAGGTACATCACCATTAGCGATCCGCTGAGCAAGACCTTCAGCAATTGCTGTCTTCCCAACACCGGGCTCTCCAATAAGACAAGGATTATTTTTGGTGCGGCGGCCTAAAATTTGGGTGACACGTTCAATTTGTGGCTGCCTTCCCACAACAGGATCCAACTTTCCCTGAGGTACAGATGATAAACATTTTAGCTTTTATGCACCAAGTAGTATCATCCACCTTCTGTCACGAAGAAAACGAGGAACTGTCATTACCTCTTCTGCTAGCTTGGTCAAATTGGTTCCATACTCCTCCAAAGTTGGCATTTTATTGTTACTACTTCCTGAGCCAACAGTAGCAGTAACACTGTCAGCACTCTCACCCACCATGCGAATAACCTACGCCCATTCCAAAGAAATTATCAGATTAATGCAAATTAAGAAGAAAAAACGCAAACAATAATGTGGTATAAGAAAGATATAAACAAAGGTATAATACTAGCCTGTGTGCGAATATTAGTAGGATCAGCGCCCAGGTTTTCAAGAACACGTGCTGCTACACCCTCACCCTCTCGAAGAAGACCCAGAAGCAAGTGCTCTGATCCAATATAATTGTGACCTGAAATTTTCATGGTGTAAGAGTCAGAGTTTAATGAGCTAAGACTTACAATTGAATGTAATATTTCCCAAACACAAGCCAACCACTAAAAAAATCAAAAATAGCTGCTAGCTCAATTTTTTCAAAACTAGATTAGATAGTACATTCTCTACTCCTTTTTATAAGAAATAAAAGACCATATCATCTAGACCAAGGAAAAGCTGTTAAGGGAGTTAATATTATTAAATTTTCAAAAATACCCGTAACAATCATTTAATGCATCCACTTGCATAGGGAGTATGTGTGTTTCTAGTTAATATAAATCTCACAATAAAATACAAGGGATAAAGTAAATGATCATTACGGTTCACGACTTGTTTTATTTATTTTTCTTTAAATTGTGATAGGCAGCTCATCTCCTCAAGTAAAGTAGATAAACGTATGAAACACAACAAAATCAGCTATACCTTCTTTCAAGCAACAATTACCGGACAAAAACTAGCAAGTATTATAGACGGATTGGAAATAAGACCAAAAACACTGTTAAAGATACAAATGCTTTTTGCCAACTATAAATTAGGCTATAAAATATAATAGAAGAAGGTGAGCAGAAACATACCAAGTTGGCGAGCTTCCTCCAGTGAAAGTTCCAATACACGCTTTGCACGAGGAGTAAATGGAATCTCGACAGCAACAAATCCACTACCCCTTCCAATTATCTTCTCCACTTCAACACGTGCATCTTTAAGGTTGATTCCCATAGACTTCAAAACCTTGGCAGCGATACCAGTTCCTTCACCAATAAGCCCCAAAAGAATCTGCTCTGTTCCAACAAAATTATGACCAAGACGTCTGGCTTCCTCCTGAGCCAACATTATCACTTTGATTGCTTTCTCCGTGAAACGCTCAAACATGGCTCTAGGTATGAATCTCTTAGCCCTCGCCCTCCGTGAAGAAGTTGCCAATGATACCTTGGAGCGAAAATCTAGTCCAGGTCTCAGCATAGTATTGAAATTACAAAGTCCCGAGAAACCTGACATTCTTGATCCGCTTGTTTGCAAAGCACACATCATCTTGACTGATCGCTTAGACTTTCCCGATCCCTTATGTTGACTCTGCTTGTGCCCAGCCACTAGGCCAGGAACACTAAGTGACTGAGCCAAAACTCTAGCCATGATTCCTAAATATCTGGCTGCATTATTTAATAAAACTCAACCAATAAGAAACCATAGGTGATAATTTAAACTTCAAAATAGTAACTATTTAAACTTCAAGTATGAAAGCATGATTAGAATGAAAAATCAACAACAAGACACTCATAGCGAGGAAATCTAATATTGAAAAATTAACCAAAAAAAAAAACACAAAATAATCGGGGGAAAGTTGAATTACGGAATCAGCAACATCAATTATAGTTACAAATACAAGAAGAACAAACAACAAGTAACAGTAACCGTAACAGTAACGCCGGGAGAAAAATTGAACGGAAAACGAAGAAGAACTTACCGGAAGCAGTTCCCCGGATAAACGGATAAGATAAAGCGAATCAAGCAAGAAAAATTGATATTTAAGAAATTAGTAAAAAGAGACCAGAAGAAACTGATAAGGGAGAAGAAGTTGTTTTGTATATAATGATAGAGGAAGCAAAGTTGAGGAAGGAATAAAATTGTGGTGGCAAATCGACTCAGTCACTAGATAATTATAACATTATATATTTAGATATTTTTATTATCTTCATATATAAAATCTGATTGTCTATCGGAACTTCCTGTGTACCCTCTCTCACTGAATCATTAAATATCATACGTCGATTGATTCGAGGCTGTGTTTGTATACGTGACACGTAGCCGGCTCCAGATTCATACTAATTTTTTTATATCTTTTCGTAGTCAAATTACGGTATCACACGCTGCCTTATTTATTTGTCTATTTTGCATTTTGATCCTTCCGCAAGGGTAACCGGTTGGTCCTGTTTTCATGGTTTATTAGCTAAATTTGATTCTTGTTTTTATGAACTGTCTTACCCAAATTAGACTATAATTAGTTGTATTAATTTCCTAATTATACGAAAACACAACAATATGACAACAAACTTCAGCTAGCTACATTTATAATTCTTAATTACATATTACTTAATCCATGTATGTTACTCTTTAATATTCATTTTTTCTTTGTGAAGATTTAGAGTTTTATAAATATAAATGAAACGTTATATTTATGTATCAACAAACATTCGTTGAAAATGTTAGTTATAATCCACAATATACCGTTTGTATACTACTCCTCCCAATATTCTCTCTGATGGCATATGGGGAGATCACAAAATAGGAAGAAATCCGTTAAAATCTTTTTTTCCGGTATTTCTTCTTCAAGTCGTTCTAATTTACTCTGTAACAAGAGTTTTGAATTTCTCTCTCAAGAGACTAGGCTTACCAAGCTCATTTCGCAAATGATGGTAAGCAGTTTCATTATTTCATTAATAATCCAAATGAATTTATCATGCATGGGCGTGAGAAATTAATTTTTTGTGATTTTTTTTGTCGTAGACTGCGCTAATTTTAGGACCAATGGTGCCGGTTTTGGAGGAGTATAAGAGAATAGTGTTTCCTTATGGAAGTCAAGATACACTTGCAACAATAACAGCACTCGGTTACGTGTTCTTCTTATTTGAAACTGGCATAAAAATATATTTCAACATGATTGTAAATACGGGAAGAAAAGGATGGGTGATTTCGTTTTTCGGGTTAATAGCTCCTATGGTAATTGGTTTTGCTACCCGTCATTTAACCATTAGGAATAATTTTGAAAATAGTTCTCTTGAAGGAGATATAGTAATAGTAGGACACAATACAACATCATTTGCAATGATTGTTTCTCTTTTGAATGACCTTAAACTTCTAAACTCTGAACTTGGAAGATTAGCATTATTTGTTGCTTTGGTTGGTGACATATTCAGTAAAAAAATTGTAACCATTTCATCTACTATGGTTAATACCAATCATTATATTCCAGTTACCATGAGGCTTGGATATTTATTTGGCATGGTTATCTTCATTTTGTTTATCTATCGTCCTGTCATGTTTTGGATTGTTGAACATACGCCGGAAGGGAAAGAAGTTAAGGACATTTACATCAACATTGTTATTGGGACTCTCTTTCTTTTGTGTTGGATTTCGGGACAAATAGAAAGAGGTCCTGTTTTTTTTCCTTTTATTTTCGGATTGACTACTGTGATACGGTGGCAGAACCGACTGTTTAATACTGGTTTGCGTTTTGCATTTTTTGTTCGCAAAATGTCGCGGTAAGCAAGAGTCGCCACCGACTTTTATTTCATCCAATCATGGAAAAGGAAAAAGAACAGAAAAAACCTTTTTTCGAGATATTATGAGTACGGGGGGTAGATTATAGAAAGGGAAAGTGTTAGCACCCTTTCTATCCATGGTTTTCCATAGGCTCTTAGGTACTTGCTCATTTTTCAAATTGATTGTGTGTGTTTGTCTTTGAAAATGTTTCACTTCGTGATAACCCTTGTATCAGTCCTCAAGAGTGTGACGAAGTTGTTTTGAAAATTGGTTTGAAAGGTGTTTGTATGAAAAGTTTTTATTGAGCAAGTACTTAAGATTCTACCTACTCGAAAAAAGATTGTTTGTTCTCGTTTCTTTTAGACAGCGCTATCCTACTATTAAGGAGTAGGTAACACCCTCGTTGGAGTTGTAAGGGACATTCGAAAGGGACAAGTACAATCACTAAAGCAATAGTTAGAAAACTTTAGTAGTAACCCTAGAGTCTTAAGATCCTTCTGAGGCAACATTTTCGAGACAACATTCAAATGACACATTTTGATCTCTTTAAACTGGAGGACAACCACTAAAATCTCCTATGCTTAATGATTGTTTACCGAAGGCAACCGAAGTGAGGTAAATCCTAGGAGTGAATATGTGCATATGATTTGTTTCGGTTATTTAATCTTTGCACATTAGGTGATCTACCGTTTTAATTTCAGATATTCTTGCCATACAATCCTATTAGCATACATCTAGACAGTTAAATATTTGCAGGAATTAAAAATGCAAGAAAATAAACCTAGCTATTACAAGGCTTCGGGGGATGGAGATTAATTACATAACCAAAGAATCAGGGATTAAAGCAATAAATAAAACCCTAATTTAACTATTACAAACCATCGGCATTTACAAAAATAATGGAAAAGAAATAATTAAATGCACGGCGAATTAAATACGGGGAGAAATTGAAAACCCTAAAATCTAATTAAAAATAATAATTAAGTTATTTTTGAGAAGAGAATTAATTGAGTTATGTACGACTAAAACCCCAATTCTAATCGTTTAATTATGAAAAAGAAATTGAAATTAAATAATTTCAAGAAAGTAAAATATTTTACAAAAAAACAAGATTTTGTGTATTTTTGTTTTTTTTTTATTTGAGAAAAGAAATTTAATTGTAAAATTAAAACCTAGTTTCTATTTGATTTTAATTATGAAAAAGAAATTAAATTTACCTAATTTAAATAAAATATTATATAAAATATTATATAAAAAAGCTCTTTTTTATGATTTGTTGATTTTATGAAAGAAAAAAAATGTGTTAATTAATTAAAACAAATAAAGAAAACAATTAAAGGAATTAAAAAAGAAAAATAGGAAGAAAACGCAAACTGAGCCTGTGTTGAATATCCCAGGGGGGGTGCAAATCTGAATTCTCTAAGGCCCAAAATGCTCCAAGCCTGGTCAATATTGGATCCTGTGTAGCGTTGACTTGAACGTGTACCATGGTCCCTCGTGGATGGAGCATTAGATCTGATGGCACTCTGGATCCAGTGGCTGGATGTTGATGGAGTATGGTAGACCCTTCGATAAGAAGTGCATGCAATCTGCGTTTAGAAAATAGGAAAATAGGCGTTGTTGGGACCTGGGATCGAACCCAGGTCCTCTACCCTTTCCACTATGTTTGCTTGCCATCTGTGCTACGCGCTTTTGTTGTTAGTATAAGGAAAACAAAATATAATATAAAGAAATCAAGTCCCTGATTCTCATGCGCGCGAATTTTTAAATGGTCCAATGATGATTGGACACGCCATCATCTTCTTCAGGGAACCATCGCTTTTGGCATTGACCCTTTACCTACGGACAAACTCGTCACTATAGGCTATAGTGACGGTTTTTATGCGTAGCTAAAACCTGCAAAAATCTCAAAACGACATACAAGCAACATGAATTCCATTCAAAGGCATGAATCAAGCCTACTTCATCCCCTAAACATGAGGGGGCTCTTAATTTGGCCCAATTTTGCCTCTAGCTAGGGTTCCCCAATTTGGAGCTCGCGAACCCTAACTATGGCAAATATTTATTCCTGCATCAAAGCTTAAATCCAGGCTATCAAAAATCTTCCTGGCATGATTATAAACATGTATATTGTTGGCTCTTAAATTCGACACCCTTGTTTCATTAATATCAGCCATTAAAGCTGAAGGATGTTTTCGATCAACTGGGTCTGTCGAAATGCCCATCGAAAGATGACACTGTACTTAGAAGATTTCTTCCAAGGGAGAAGTTGGTTGCCTTCGACGTCGAAGGTGTCTCTCGTCGAAGATGCTTCTCGACGAAGGTGTTCGATGGTTCAGAGTGGAACGGTTTGAAATTCAAGCATTTGGAGGGAAAACGGTTTCCAGCGGTTACCAAGTGCAACGTGCAAAGATCTGGAGCGTCGAACGTTGAGAACGTGCCAAGTGGAATCATCTCGAAGCAGTGTAACTGCCCAACGGTTACTTGGGATGTTTTAGTATAAATAGTAGTAGTTCACGCAGTTTCTCGCGTGTGTTCACAAATATATACAAAGTCACTCATATAGATTCGAGTACCCAGCGTGTGAGAAAGAATTGTTGAGAATGTATGTGTGAAACACCACTTTTATTTATCAAAGTCATTTACTTTTCCAGAAACTTTACTTGCTTTCTTCTTTATTTTCCCTGTCGAAGTCCTTTATTTCAAGCCTTCATTTATTTTACCAAGCCTATTTCTTCATGCAATTTACTTAAAGCCTCTTTACTTTATTGTCATTTAACCATTATCCAATTTAATCAAAACCTCAAAATCAACCTATGTCCTAGGATCAATCTGATCGATCCTGCGAGTAACCAAATAAGTAACCATTTGGAAGATCAGCGGTTGTTTACCAATAACCACGGTAAACAAATTGGCACACCTGATGGGACTGTGTGTTGATTTTTGAACATAATCTCATCTTTCTCGAGGAGTGTTGCATGTTATTGAGAAGTGGTAGAATATACACTAACGATAACAATACTGCTAGAAGAAGGGAAGAGATGGCGAATCCGCCAAACAATAACGAGATCCCACAAACAAATGTGGGAGCAACGGTTATCCCGACCATAAGTGAAGCGATAACCGCTGGTTCGACACCAGCAGTAACGGTCACAGCAACGGGGCCATTACCTCCGTTCATAGGCCCCAGAGTGCCTTTGGGAACTCCCCCACCAAGGGGAAATCTAGGCACAAGGCCTTTCGTTCCCCCAGGATTTATGACAGGCGGTCATAATCGAGAACCACTATATGGCATGCCAACTTCTGACTTGGCTAGCCTGACGAATGTTGCGTCCACTTTTTCAGACCCTTTAGTGAGTGCCTCTTCGCCACTCCAAGGTTCTGGAGTAGGTATGGCGAATAGAAATAGGACCCAACTCTTAGGAGGAACGTCCCAAGTAGCACATGGCCTTACAAATGCCTCGACAGCAGTCTTGAGGCAACAAATGGACGAAAGCAACCATGATATGGTTCAAATGTTGGCACAAACTTTAAGTACCGTGCTGAACCCTCTAATACAAAACACTACTCAGTCGAATCAGCAGATGACAGCGCAAATGACGCTTTTGGCTGATTTCTTTGGAGTACCCCAACCTATTCGACAGCCCCAAAGGGCGCAAATAAGGGGAAACCAGGGTGTATTCTTAGAGGAAGAAACCACCATCAACCAAGTCCAACAGCCTGTCGAAGAAAACCTTAGGGCACGATTGGAGCAACCTGTCGAGGAACCTAGGGTAATAACCCCAGAGGTAAGGTTAGTTAACAGAAACCAAAATGCTGACGAAGTAGTTCAGCATATCCAATACCAAAACATGGGTTTGGAAAATAATCTGGCAACCATGATCGAAAGGATCATGACTCAAAATGGGATGAACATGGGCTTTTGAAGGCCCAACTTTACGTCCCCGCTGTCAGAATACGTGTTACAAACAGACTTACCTCCTAGATGTAAAGTCCCCAAATTCACTAAGTTTTCTGGGGACACGACAGAATCTACTGTCGAACATGTGGCGAGATACTTGATCGAAGCAGGAGATATTTCGAATAACGAAAACCTGAGGATTAAGTACTTCCCAAGTTCTTTAACAAAGAACGCTTTTACTTGGTTTACAACTCTCCCCCCCAATTCGATCCATCATTGGACCCAGTTGGAAAGATTGTTCCATGAACAATTCTACATGGGGCAAACCAAGATAAGCCTGAAAGAATTGGCCAGTGTAAAGAGACGTTTCACTGAACCTATAGACGAATATCTAAATAAGTTTAGGTTGCTCAAGGCGAGATGTTTTACACAAGTGCCGGAACATGAATTAGTCGAAATAGCCGCGGGCGGTTTAGATTATTCCATTAGGAAGAAGTTAGACACTCAATACCTGAGAGACATGGCCCAACTGGCCGATAGAGTTCGACAGGTAGAACGCCTCAAGGCTGAAAAAGCAAAGGCAACGAAAACTCATAAGAGAGAGAGGATAACGTATGTTGAGATGGATGACGAAGATCCAGAATCCTTCGACGATACTATAACTGTCGAAGAAGGAGAAGTCGATTTAGCGGAACTAAAACAAGGGCCACCATACTCTTGCAAACTGTTAGTCCCCTCAAGTGGAAAAAACCCCATTGGTCCAGAAAGGACCAATGATAGGTTCCCCAAAAAGACTTATAGTTTTGACATCACAAAATGTGATGAGATCTTTGACTTGCTTGTAAAAGATGGCCAAATGATAGTACCCCCAGGGGTAAAAGTGCCTCCTCTTGATCAAAGAAAGAAGAGAGGTTTTTGCAAATATCATAATTTTTTGGGCCATAAAACTTCTCAATGTTTTCTTTTCAGGAATCTTGTGCAAGACGCTATCGAAGAGGGGAGGTTGAAGTTTGCTGACAAAACCCCCATGGCTGTCGACTCAAATCCGTTGCAGGCTGAAGCCCACTATGCTGAGCCTTCTGAGGTGAACGTGATCGAGGCA